TGTGACAACCACTCACGTACTAAAGCAGTAGAAGTATTTGGGATTTGTGCCTTTTGTTTGATTTTACCGGGTTTAGAGTAAAGAAAAGCTTAAAATATTTTAGGCTTTTACTGGTGAATAAAGATCTATACATTGGTTTGGTTTGCATTTTGCGCAAAGCTACACGAGATCTATTTGCGCTAGCCGTCTCTAATTTAGCAGTGAATGACTAGATGAAAGGCACCTAGTCATCACCACCCACTGCTAACTCTTGGGCTATTTTACCAACAAATAGTGGGATTGATCGTCATATTATAACGCCTCCACGGTTGAAAGGGCGAGCACGTTTGGTGGAGATCTATACATCTGAAGCAAACAAAGTGCTTACAATTTCACAATTACATGAAGCCTAGTTTATCTATTCTTTCTTCCAAGCAGGTCGGATGAGCCGTGAATTCGGCGAAACTAGTCTGTTGCAACAGTAGTAGCGAATCAAAAAATAGATTATCTCTATATTTTCTTCACTGAAATTCATGTTTTAGTTGAAGCAAAGAAACTAACGAATAAAGAGTCACAACTTAGAATGCTCCAATAAATATTTCCCACAAGGAAGTCTTAGAACGATACTGTGTTAAGTATTTATTCCTCTGAACTATATATTTGGTAAAGATTCTGAATGACCGAAGAGGACACACGAAAGTGTCGAAACAAACTTTCTAGTCTTTGTACTAATACTTTGTTCCAAATATATATATATTTTTTATTTGTTGTAGTTTATGCCCCATTCTCGTATCGTGAATACCATTCTCTAGTGAAATCTACCGTATTCTGAGGATCGAATAAGGTAGATCGGAAGGAGTGGGGAACATATTGTACTCGATTGCGAATGTTGAATATTCTAGTTTACATATATATATATATATATAGTTTAACTTACTTTATCTTCCCAATGTAATTTCTTTGCAAACATTTTCAACTGAGTTTTCAGTCATTTTTGGAATACGCAAACAAAATAATGTTTGGAGAGCAAGCTCTAACGTAGTGCCCCCCAGTGGCACAGCGGTATGTCTGCGGACTTAAAACGCTAGAATCCGGGTTTCGATACCCGTTGTGGGCAGAGCACAGATAGCCCATTGTGTAGCTTTGTGCTTACTCACAAAACAAACAAATATCTAACGTAGTTATTGAACGCAAGCTTTCAAGCTGTTTGCTCGAATTTTTATAATAAATAATTGTATTTTTTAAGTAAAAAAAAATTACTTGAGATATGGAAAAACTTGTTATTTTACCGTCATTTCGGCTTAAAGCCCTCTGCGTAAAGCGTTTTACAAGCAACATGTATTTTTAATGGCATTTTTACATTGTAAATAAACGAACATATATATCAGTACTGTTTAACAAAAAAATTCCAATAAAGCGACTACTTGACGTAAATAAACGTAGATGAAAATCAAAAATGTTAAATAATTTCATCTCAGAAGAAGAAAACAAAGTGAAACAAACGATATTGGTGAGTTAAATTCGTCAGCAGTCTACCTGGGATATTTACACTGGCCATACGCAAGCATTAGTAGCACCGAGCTGTTTCAATCACACCTTGATCACATTTGCTAAGAAAAGATGCAGATGATTTATTTGTGGCATTTGTAAATGATATACGAAGTGTATATCGTTAAAGGATTTAAATGTAAATCATTTGTTAAGGATGTGGTACGAAGTGTATGTGATTAAAAATAATTATGTAACACATTAGCAATCGATGTGTTCAAAGGAAAACGAAGTTTGATAATAAACAAGATTACGATACTTATGATATACAACATTGTTTATTGTCAAAAGGGGGACATAGGTAAACGTTTCGGAATTCTATCAGATTCCATCTGATACTATAAGGAACTCGATAATAACATTTTGTTAACCCTAAAAACCCTTATTAAATTTCTGTAGGGCATGTTTGCGTATAAAAGACATTTTGTTTTATTAATAAATGACCTCGTAACATCAAATTTGTTTTAACTGGACACTCAGCGTTTCATTTTACAGCTTCGTTAGGAACGTTCCACTAAAACACAAACCGATGAGTGTCCAATTAAAGAAAAACAAATTTGGTGTTATAAGGTCATCCTATCATGAAATCACAAAGAAGTAAATCGTAGTCGTCCTATAATTTCATCAACAGTAACAATAACAGAACAAAATTGTGATATTACTGAGCATCATCATCAAACACTTGTATCTTCGTATGTTTGATATACCCCCAACTTCCTAACAAAACTGAATGAACCTGGTACGAAACCCTTCAACTCTATTTCTACTTTCCTTATTAACGATTATGCCTTATGATCTTGGAATCAAAGTATGTTAAACAGCTGTTAAAAAAACAACAGATTTTTCACCGATCGAATATATATTCGATCGAATAGTCCTTAGTTATAAATATACTTGAGTTTGATTAACAAAATTATCTTCAAATAAATGGTAGAGCTATGGGTGCTAAAATGACTCTTTCACATTCAAATGCATTTATTTTATGATGTGATACAATACTTCTTTACTTAATAATGCTATCATTCGTACAGTACTATTATTGTTACTCACTCCAATTCAAATTACGATCAGTTACAAGTTGTTTCTTTCTAACCCCTGTTGAAGGTTTATTCACCAATCCAAAAAGCAAGGGGCTAAACTACCCTTTTTTGTTTGTACTGGTTAATAGGCAGGTTAAAATAAACTATTACTCTCTCTCAGTGGCGTAACTACAAAAGATGAGCCCTACATTTACGTCTCTATTCTTCCCTTCTCGTTTATATTTACCGTAATCTATGGATTTACGTTATGACAAATGGCAGTAACATGCATGTTCATTTAAACATGAACATTCAATGGGACACATCTTAAAAGCTGTTCCGTGTTCTCAGTATTATGCAATATACGACTAGTTTTACCAATGTAGGCTGTTTGAACGGCCAGACAGTTGCTTAAAGGGACTGCTGGTTAGTTGGCACAATAAAATTAACATTAATCAAGTATTTTTTTTTAAGTTAAACCATGATTTAAAAGTCACTCGTACATTTAAGTAGAAAGGAATTTTTTCTCCGAATGATCCTCAGCATTGGATGCTGACGTTAGGCCCTTATAGGAAGTTAAATCGTTCTTATGGATATTACTGAACCTCAACTTTGCTAGGTTAGGCCTATGTTGAACGTGGTGGGCTTTATTCTTAAACAAATCTTGAATCTGAGTTTCAAGTATAATGTTGAACGTGTAACAAAATTTAATGTTAGGTCTCATTCTATAAACCTAGCTTATATTTATGGCAAAAAAAATAAAAAAAATACTAATAATATAAATTACTACGACACTCGTCTTAAGTCTATGCCTAAGGTTTAAAGGTACCTAAGTTTGGCTTAGTTGTATGCTTATCTTGAGGGAAAATTCAAGATCAATTCCAAAATTATCTTTTACAGTCCTGCTCTTACGAGGAAGTGATTTTTGTTAGTTTCCAATATATCTTTTAAAGATACAACTCCAAACAACTACCCTTGCCATCGAGAGCCTATATGTGACGAGATTTGTAAATTAAAGATTTTGCTGGCAATCATATTACTATTACGTCTCTGTTCGTTTGTTAATTTCCGGTATAAATTCTTTCTGAGGAACTAAAGTGATACAAGTCCTTTCTTAAATAAAACTAGTTTATTCTTTTTCGACACAACTTTGCAATGCACAGAATTTCCACAGTCACTTTAAACTCAAACACACGCTATAATTCACAACGATTCACGCAATTTACTTCCGATCACTACCGCTCGCTTGACTCAATTATCTGTCTCTCTATCTATTTGCAATTATATGTCTGCTTTATTTGCCAGGCTTATATACTAAAATACAGGACGTCTAGAAAAGACTAAAGTTGACAGGAAAATTCACGATCCTTTGAGAAACTCCAGCACGTATGCTCCCAGCGTTACGCGACTTCCGCTGTTGTAATAGTACTAGTCTGCCTGCTAAATCCCCAAATAATAACAACTTTATGTATTTTTTTTATATTTATCAAAAAACAAATATGTAAGTCTTGAGAATGTCAATAGGCTTAATGAAAAAGAGAGAGAGAGAGAGATAGAGAGAAAAACTATGATCAGTCAGTAAGCCAAATGATGATATATCAGTTACTGTTAGGCTTAACTTTGGTCTTCAGTTATATTTGTAGTATTGCTTTGGTTAACATTGAAATTAACATAATCATACACACTGCATTGGTCAACATATTGTATCATTTTGTGTGATATCATTATTTTGCTTGTTACAATACTAAGTGTAAAGTTTTTTTCTTTTGGTATGATTTGTTATGAAATTTTCACAAAGCTACTCGGGGACTATCTGCACCAGCCTTCCCTAATTTAGCAGTGATAGACTAGAGGGATGGCAGCTAGTCAACACCACCCACTGCCTACTCTTGGGCTACTCTTTTATCAATGAGTAGTTGGATTGACCATCATATTATAACGCCTTCACGGTTAAAAGGGCAAGCATGTTCGGTGATGGGGATTCAAACCCACAACTTGCAGATTGCAAGTTCAGTACCCTAACCACCGTGCCATGGCAGGCCTTAAGTGTAACAAACTGACTAAAAAAATTGATCTAACTAGAAAGCATAAGTGATTTACAATGATACAAAATAATATCCAAGTAAACTAGCTCCTGTAATTTATGTTTACAGAAAAAGAACATGCACACTCACTTAAGTCTAAAAATGACCTTAGTGTACATTAGGAACATCTACAATTAGACAAGGTTTAACATTTTATTTGATTCTGTAATGGGTATCTATGGTTTTAAAAGTTTAGGTATTTCCAAGAATAAACCAGCTTTATGTTGTAAATTCCTGAACATATAACGTAGTTTACTCTGAATAATTTCCATGGGAGCTCAAATATCAATAAAGGAACACACCACTGAGATTATTACTGAATATTGTAATACTTTAGATGTGTATTATGTAAAAAATTTCCATCTGCCAATAACAAGACCACTTTAGTGTTTATTGACAGTTTTAAGAAAAATAACAAATGGCTTAGCTGAACATAAAACTAATAATAAAGTGTATTTTACTACTGAGCATTCTTTATGGAATGTTTACATGATAGCAATATAGATTTTTACATCTATCCACACCAGTATTTTACACTTTCAATAACTCCAGGAAGATACCCATTAAGCTGCTTATTTTATTTATTAGCACCCCAGATATATTCATAAACATTAGTATGGCAAACCTATTAGTAATTAATGATAATTTGCTCATATTAAACTTATAAACAAACCACAATGTTTACACAAACATTTTATAGAACCCAGCAGGTATAACCTTATTAAGCTGATATATTATACATAAACAACTGGTAGCATTTTTTACAAATGTTATGCCCATCCCAATAATACAATAATATAAGGCAGCTATCTTTGTAACTGGTCAACAGTATCTTCATAAATATAATGAAACTGACCTTTATAGGTACAACAACATTAAGCTGATATATCTTAACAATAAATAACCCAGTCATCTTGAACCATAAGAAATTTAACCCATTAATTAAAATATATTAAGCTAATGTATTTTATATTAACAAACTTCTGTCTTCATGAACACCAATGTATTGATCTTACTGTTTTAAACTTTGTTATGCTATTCTCTTCAGTATAAGCACCCTACAATATCATCAAAAAACAGTATAATGAATCTAACATAGATTAGTAGTGGTTTTAATGTTAATTTCATGCTACAGTTTAATGTAATGTACAGAAACAAAAACGTTTGTGACAAGATTAAAATCTTTTGTCTCATCTCTGATATAAAAACGTTTACTGTAACATCATCAACAATAGAAAAATAGCTATAATCTTGAGCAAACACTGGAACTTGAAATGAAAGATTACGTGACGGCAGAAACATCAGTTAAATATGACTTTCTTTTTTAACACTGTAATCAAACTTTCTCCATTAAAGATTAATACAATTATTAACATAGTTGGCAACATCTTTTTTGCAAAAATTCTAGCTGAATAATTCTAGTTGAATAAATTTAGTAACTACAATTTTTTTAAATATACTTGGGTATCAATTATCTATTTAGATTTATAAAGGTAATCAGTAGAAATAAAACATAAATCTCATTCAATGTTTATGTCAAGAAAGTAGAAGTGGATTTTCAGTTTCAAATCCTAGTGAAGGATAGTTAACAGATGGTGTTTTAATCTTAATGAAAGAAGTGAAAACAAAATTATGATAATATAATTTTTTTTATAAAACAATATTGTTCAAAACTTAAAATACTTCAGCATTAGATCAGCAATGCAGGTGAACATAATTTGTTACATATAATTATGTAGTTGTTGGTTTTCATAAGTTTCCTATGAATAATATATGTGTAAATGTCACTCAGTAAACAACATGACTGTGAACTCTGCAGTTTCTGAACCCCAAATTATTTTGCCAGTTTATAAGAAACATAACCCACTTACCAAGTTTTTAGCTTTTAAATGGAGAACAAGATTTATAGCATAAGCCAATAAATATAACTGATATACATACATCTTAATTTGTATTCACTAGTTTCTTGAAAATTTTTCAAACTAAGTTATAACCACCCTGCTTAAGATGACTGAATTACCTTCAAATTCTTATTAGTGGATAGCAAATTATCTGTTAAAGGTTCATTGTTGGAATACACGAAACATTTGGAATGAAAAAAACAACGTACACGACCATATATATATATACACCACCACCCATACACTGCTGCAAGATCACTTTCTAGAAACTTGAAATTGCATTTATCTACAGCAACAATCACAGAATAAATGTTTTTCAAGTAGTTAACTTATTGAACTGTACAGTATACAATGACCCTTTACTATTTCCAGTATTAATAAAAAATTCATACATCTATAATGAGACCCTTAAAGTTAATATAAAAATACCTCCTTATAAAAAAACAAAAACAAATGAGGAGTCTTTTCCTTGTTTCAAACCTTAAAGAAAAATATTTTTAAACTGATTTTTTTGCAGTAATTTTAGCATTAAGCTCAACCATAATACAGGTCTACCATACTTGTTTCTCTTTTTAATGAGATATTTCACATTCCATTGTCTTTTCTTCTGACAAATCAAAAGGAGATACACAGCCTTATAAAAAAATCAGCAACAAAAATATTGTTTTATGTTAAGTCTTCTAAAATTTGGGACTTAATTTTAATGTTTTAGCAATTATTTTCATTGTATTCTCCAAAAGACTTTTATGCAAAGTTCTTTACAATGCAGTCTGAAAAAATTTAGTTTAAAACCTACTGAATCATACCAACTCAACAGATTAATGACTGATAGTTTACAAAGCCTTTACATTTTTAATTTTTACAAAATAACCATTTAGAAATACAAGAAAATGAAATCCAAAAATTTCAAAGCTAACCTTCTTCTTGATTTAATGTCATCAGTAGAACAACAAAAAAAAATCAAACTGGTGTAATTTTTAATAATCAGAGACAGCATGTATGAAAACTTCTTAAAAAATCAGTATGTAGTGTACATGCCTGCATACATTATCATACAAGTACAAATAAGTTCTGAGTAATTTGGCAGTTGAGAACCTTTAAAGATCATCATCTCCAATTCCTTCGAAAACATCATTTTCCATAAGGGATTCGGGGGACATACTACCACTGCTGGAACAACCAGACTGCTTGGCAGAATATAACTTTTCCTGCAAAGGTATTTCAACCACTTAATTATTTACACTGCTTTAAAGAAAGCAAAACCTATTTGGAAAAATCATATCATGCATTTACCCCCAAAAGTGAAAGTAAAAAAATCCTTGCAGTTTATGGAAAGTCTGATTTTATATAAATACATAGATGCACACACACATGGAGATAACTCTCAAATGCGCTAACCTGATGATTATTTTTAGCTTCATGTATATGTATCTTAAGTATACATCTCATAATATCTATAACATATTTTTTTCTACTTGGTAAACTTAACAAAAGTTGTTCAACCAATCAATTTATCAATTAAGTTAGGCTTTTGGTTCAAGGAATGCTCATATCCTGGTCTTAGGGTGTTATGTTTTAATCTCATGACCAAGCTTAGAATATATTCTCAACAAGGTTGTTATTCTATAACAAACATGTTATGAATTAGGCTATAGTCATATAACAAACATGTTCTGAACATGTGCTACTCTATAACAAAAACATTCTAAACTAGGCTACCGTCCTATAACATGTTCTGAAATAGGTTGTGCTCTTAAACAAAAATACAAAATATACCACGATATGATCTTCTGACAAAGAGGTACATTTTGGTTTTATGATGTGTTTTTTCTTTATCTACCAAGAAACCTTCATTTGGCTTTAATGTGTGTTCTACAACTATGCCCTTGTTTAGGGGGTGTGTTTTAAAAATTGCATCATAGTTAACAGTAAAAGATGATCTTTTAACAAATAGCTTTGTGTTAGTTTTAGAGTGTGTTCTGTCTACAAAGAAAGATGTTACTGTAAAAGATGATCTTTTAACAAATAGCTTTGTGTTAGTTTTAGAGTGTGTTCTGTCTACAAAGAATGATGTTACTGTTTTAAAATATGTTCTCTTAATACACAACTTTCCCCCGATTTTTATAATGTATTCTACTAAAAAAACTAGGTCTTTGTTTTTGGGTGTTTCTTATAACAAATAAGCATTTTATTTTGGTATGTTCCTTGAAAAATTTGTTATGGTTAAGATTGTGCTAATCTAATTAAAAACATGTTCTACCAAAGATACAAAAGTGTTTTTTTTTTCCTCAACAAAACAAAATTTTGGCTTTTGAGTTTGTTCCTTTAGCAAATAAACATATCCTAATTTTAGTGTGGTTTCTTCTAAAAAGCAGTAATGTGCTAGTTGAGAAATTATTTTTAATATACTCTTATGTTCTGGTTTAAAATGTCTTCTTCAACCATTTCTGAATCTTATCATAGCAAAAGTACTTAACAAAATTATATGAAATTTAGTAAAAACTTAATAGGTAATATCTAGTTTCAGGTTTATAAAAATCATAGAATTTTTACACTAGTTTCTTTTCATTAAGTAATAAGTTATTTTACTTATCTACATTATTTGATGTGACAAAATTAACAATAATATTCAATAAATAAGTATTTGAGTCGTCCTAATATTTTTCCATCCCTTAATATACTCTTTTAACCTTACTTGGCTTACCTGATGTGTTGTGATTGAGGATAATTTCCATAGTTTTCAAACAATTTTAAAATTCAAAATGAAAACATGTTTAAGAACAAAAATAATGTATAAAGGAACTATAAAAAAGTCCACATCTGTGGTGTGTTACCAAGTCTTCTAAACTGCATTAAATTTCATTGTTCTTCTTTGGAGTTGCATCTAATTACTTTTCTATGAAACTGCAAATTATTTTTTGCACCACTTTATTTGCTCTACATAGAAGTAAATAGTTTATAAGCTTCTCTATTTGCTTCTCAATGGTATTTAAACTTTGCCTGTAGCTATTTTCAAAGCAGAGTTTTGTTAGCAGTTTTTCAGATCACATGTTGTGAGGTCATAGAAGGGTTAGAATGAGATGTTGTACTAATAGAATCAGAGAACGAGAAGTCACATGAGAAACATGATACTTCTCCTCAAATGTGAACCTATTATTTGCAATGGGTAGAAAAATTCTAAATAAATCAATAACTGAATTGTTTTTATAGCCAACACTCCTTAAAGCTGTGAAGAAATACAAGTTTGAACACTTTTTCATATTTCTTTGCCAACTACACTAAATAAATGTTACAAAATGATAAAATATCAATTCTATTTTTGAGTAAAAATTATCATAATAGTTTTAACTATTATTGTCTACATAAATTTTGAAATTTCTTAAGCATGTGTGCACTTGACACCTAAAAGGTGTTTACCAGACCATATAGGATTAATACAGGAGATTGAATATGTTATATTAAAATTATTTTGATTATGCAAGTCATGTGAAATCCACAGTGGAAGCACAAGTATCAGAATCACATTTTGATATTGTTTGGCATTTTGTAAGTAGTTTAATGCCACTAAAACAATTTATCGCTTTTGGAAAGGGTATGAAACGGCCCTTTCTGACACAAAATGATCATACACTCAGATAATAAAGATGTGTTTAGGTCAGTAATTTAGAATTTACAAGTTGGGGATATTTCTTGTACTTTGTGGCATTGAAAAACAAATTTGGTTAACTTTGGACACTAGGATCATCCAGAAAGATATCTCTGACAACTCCCACCACTGCCATGATAAGCAAACTGTGGCATCTTGTAGAATGTCAGAATCTACAAACACAAAGGTTAGTGGCAAAAGCCATTCATGTGCCCTAGGCAACATAATCAGAATGATCTCCACCTGGAAATGAGGCCAAAACAGTGTGGGTTCACCAGGATAAGGATTCCAGTCAAACCTCCCCATTCAACTGTCATAAACCTCAAGCAGCTAGAGAATAAAACAGGTATTCATGCTATCCCATACAAAGACATACCAGTCAAGTAACTGGACAAAGAGTTTATGGATTTCTGTATGAATGGATTTTTGAAATGGACAATGGAAACCATCAACCTCAAACATCGAAGTAGAGGTTAAGTATGTGGCCTGTATTTTCTTTCACGACCTATTGTTTTTGCAATTGTCTTACATGCAAGCTACTTACAGCTTGCCCAATGCAGTGGGTGCATTGAGAAAGAGCAAGCTGAAGATGCTGACCTCTGGTGTGAGCAAGAAGGCTTTCTGGGATCATGAATCAAGCCTAAGAGTAATCCTAAATGAAGCTTAAAAGATCAGAAATTGCTTTTTACCTTGTTTTAGTGCATATGTCTACACCAGCAACCAGACTTAGAAACTCAGACTATAAGTAACCCCTACTTACTCTAAGTTTATTTTTAAATAAAGTTCTTGTTTGCATAATGTTAGTGTAAGTGTGTGTTTCTCTGTCTGAGCCTCATTTATATATTCCTGTAAAGTATGTTTTTTTAACTTTCCTGTCATTGTGGAGCATTAAGTTACAAATTGATTTCAGATTCACCTGAGGATACCACACTATATAATCTACCTGGTCTTTAAGATATCAAGTATAGTTCTAGCAGGAAACTGCACAGTTACTATAGTGTAGTCTTAGAAGTAAATGTGTCTTTGCTCAACCTTGTAATGTGTTTAACAATTAAAAATTGTATTTAAATGATCCAGAAAATGAAGAAAAGTAAACTCCTTACCTTCCTAACATGATCTCTTGTTTTGTTTGTTCTTTTGGAATGTTCCTAGGAGTAAAGAAATTTATATAAACCTAAACTTTTATTTTTTACAATCTTCAAGTACAAACAGGTAAGTTTCTTCAATGAAAAGATGTGTTTAAAGTGCTTTGGAAAGATATAACAAGTGTTCACTTAAAATTGTTTTAAACAATAATTTTTATAAGTGAAATAAGTTTATATAGAAAAAAAACCCTGTTTTTGTGTTTATTTAAGTATATAACACACAACATCGATCTCTACATAAACATCATTTCAAAAATAAATCACTAAAACACTGTGCCAGGTTTATGTATCTATCTTGTAAACTTTAAATGTGACAGATAACCTGTATGTACTTTATTATTTACTAAGAATGATAGTGTTCATACTGCGTTAAGTAGAGTGACACAACTTATAGTATTAATTACACAGAGATTTTGAAAACTTTATTTTCAGTAACTGACAACATACATATTTTATTTACTTCTCATAAGAAAATAACATATAATATTAATCATGCTTTGTTACTTACTTCTTCATTATCCACTATGCCTTCAGATGAAGATGATCGACTGACGGAAATTTCATAACTGCTTCCATCCCGTTTCATGTAGCTCCAAGAACAATGTCGACCTCCTTGTTCAGGCTGTTTTTTAAATTTTACCCCATTCTTCTTGGAGAGTAGCTCTTCTACCATACCTTGAAGACATACACTCATTAATACTGCCTAAAAAGGAAGAAAAGAGGAAGACAAATTAAAACTAATTCTGTTCATTGTTATAATGCAGTGTATTTAGGAAGCATTTTGATACATTATGAAATACTGCATTATACATTGCAATGTCTCTATACATTATATTATACAGACTTTTGTAAACATTATGTTAGATACAACAGGAAATATTACCACAAAAACAAAAGTGTCTTTCAAGATCATTGTATACAATTCTATATTAATGTCCTAATAAGTTAGAGAGTACATGGCTATCCTAGTGGCACCATACTATAGGGGATACTCTTATACACTAATGCTTTAAAAAAAAAAGGGTGTGTTACCTTGTATTAATGGCTTGATGCACACAGTAGTATCTTTATAATCAATGGGATATTGATCTCTTACCTACAGTCTATACATAAGAGGGTATTATCTTATACTAATATATTACTCTTCCTATACTATGGTATACTACCA